TTTTTTTTTCTGTTTTATTAAACGAAATCTTTGTATTTTTGAAGAATTATCATTTTTCAAAAAATTGTCTGCTTTTTGAACCTGAACATCCTGAACGTGCCTACTTCCGTTTGACCTGAAATTTGCTTATTTTTAATCGACGCAAATTTGAAACCTGCAAGTGGCAGTAGGTAGAAGCCAATTAGAGATTTCATTTTGTAGGTGATGCCTGGTGTGAATGAAGTACTAAATCATATGAAGGAATTTTGCCATCAAATAATCGAGGGTCAATGGACTGGTTATACTGGAAAGAAGATTACGGATGTTGTCAATATCGGCATTGGTGGATCTGACCTTGTACGTTGCAAGTTTAAATCCTATCTCTCACAAAACTAAAGGTAGTGCTATAATGCAGGGACCTTTGATGGTTTGTGAAGCTCTGCGTCATTATCAAATCGGACCAAATGTACATTTCGTGAGCAACGTGGATGGAACACACATAGCAGAGGTTTCGTCGCTTATTGTATAAATTGTGATTTTGATATTTTCCGAAGTCAGGTGACAAAGAAGCTTAATCCTGAGACAACGCTGTTCATCATCGCGTCAAAAACCTTCACTACTCAAGAAACTATAACAAATGCCGAAACTGCGAAGGAATGGTTTTTGAAAAAGGCAAGCTTGCTTCGCTGCTCTTTTTTCACTTTCGGTGACATTTGTTCAGGCAGGGGATAAGTCAGCCGTAGCAAAACATTTCGTCGCGTTGTCAACCAATGTGCCAAAGGCGCAAGAATTTGGTATCGATCCTTCAAACATGTTTGAGTTTTGGGATGTAGGTCTTTGTAATATTGCCTATCAAATTCCAATGAGTTCTATCTAGTGGGTGGGAGGAAGATATTCCTTGTGGTCGGCTATAGGTCTATCCATCGCTGTGCACGTCGGTTTCGAAAACTTCGAGAAATTGCTCGAAGGAGCTCACGCAGCAGATCAACACTTCGTCAGTCAACCACTTGATCAAAATGTATGTTCCCTTGCGAAACTTCTTGACTTCATCCTTTCATTTGAGGTACCGATCATCATGGCGTTGTTAGGCGTTTTGTACGGAAACATATATGGCGCCGAGACCCATGCATTACTTCCCTACGATCAGTACCTGCACCGTTTCGCCGCCTATTTCCAACAAGGTGATATGGAGAGTAATGGAAAATTTGTAACAAGGTTGCGCATTCGTTCTTGAACCTCCGGTGTTTCCACAGTTTACAATTTTTTAGGGAAGGAAATCGTGTGGATTATTCCACTGGACCCATTGTGTGGGGAGAACCAGGTACCAACGGCCAGCATGCGTTCTATCAATTGATCCATCAAGGGACTAGACTGATTCCTTGCGATTTCATCGCACCTGCCAAAACGCTTAATCCAGTTCGTAATGGGTTGCATCATCAAGTGAGCGATACGCAGTTACTGCGGGCACAATTTTTTTTAATCAATTTGCTCAGATTCTTCTCGCGAATTTCTTAGCTCAAACGGAAGCCCTCATGAAAGGTAAAAGCCGGGAAGAGGCAGAGGCGGAATTGAAAGCCGCAAATACCCCGCCTGAAAGAATTGAGAAAATTCTTCCACATAAGGCACATTTTATTCTTGCTAGTTTATAGTGCGTTGAACCCATCGTAAAAGTAACGCTTTCCCAGGTTTTTGAAGGAAACCGTCCTACAACTTCTATCGTGCTTCCAGTAGTTAGCCCCTTCACTCTCGGCTTGCTGATTGCGCTCTACGAACATAAGATCTTTGTTCAAGGAGTTATTTGGGACATCAACAGTTACGACCAATGGGGGTAAGACAACGCACATTTCGAAATGCTGCACTCACGTGTGTGCATTTACTTTTTTATCGTATTTTAATTTGAGCACACACAGTGCGGCATTTGAAAAACTACGCTGTTTGTGATCAAACATTTATTGATTGTTCATTAACTAATCATTTAGGGTTGAACTGGGAAAACAGTTGGCCAAGGTTATACAACCAGAGCTTGCTTCTGCCGCCACTATCACCTCGCATGATGTCTCCACCAATGGCCTCATCAACTTTATAAAGTCGCTTTAGACGATTGTCAATGCAAGTCTGAGCGTGTTT